TTAGGCCGCTAGAGTTCCCAGAAACCACAGATGATGAACTTGTTGACGGGCGGACAGAGACTCTGTGCTGATTGTCATGTTCTGATTTGGCTCTGAGTTCTAGTGGCCTAGGTGTCATCGTGGGCAGAGGACCCTCCAGTACCATTGCCTGCTACCCACCCACGTGTCCCAGAAGTCTCTCTCGGTGCTCAGGACCTTTATGACCATAAGGTCACCTGTTAATCTGATTTAAAATCTGGCACGCTTTTGTCTGATTTAGAGAAAAGGGGTTAGTTCATTTTGTTAAATTGTAAAGTGAGCATTTGAGATGAATGCAGCAGGGTGTGTGACCCTACAAAAAGCAAACCCGGTTTAGCTGGGTCTCTGTTTTGGATTCAGTGTTGCTGAGACTCCTCATAGGACCATCTGGTCAGCTGGGGATCCAGAAGTGAATTCCAAGTTCAAGTACTAATGTGGTCACTTTCTTACAGTCTCACCGGAAGTTCTCCGCTCCCAGGCATGGGTCCCTGGGCTTCTTGCCTCGGAAGCGCAGCAGCCGGCACCGCGGGAAGGTGAAGAGCTTCCCCAAGGATGACTCCTCCAAGCCTGTCCACCTCACAGCATTCCTGGGCTACAAGGCCGGCATGACCCACATCGTGCGGGAGGTCGACAGGCCAGGATCCAGTACGTACATGCTGTGTCGTCCTCCAAGCTGGTGGGGGGGTTAGGAATTGAGGGTGGGGACTGGACTAGTTGGGGCCAAGCTGTAAGGGCAGACTTAAGAAATCAACAGAACATCTCAAATGATGTTCTTAATATAGTTTAGGACTGTTAACATTCCCAGGCTGTAAATGGATGGCACTGCCATTTGTGGGTGGAGGGATATATTGACATCAGGGAGCACTATGTGGGTAAATTTGTCAGGAGCCACAGCATAGAGAAGTCTGCTGCCCTAAAAGGCTTGAAGACGACCCATGGCCTTGGGTTGTGAGTTTCAAAGTGGAAAAGTTGCCAAGTGGGACACAGTCCTGATTACCATGGTAGCTAATGTCTACCTGACCATAGAGATATTTTGACATCCCATTATACTTAGAATGCTTGTGTTACCCAGGTAATAAGAAATGCGTCTGTCTATAGAGATTTCTGTGATAGAAAAGAATGGAAACCAGGCTGTTAATGTGCTTTATTAGGGTCATAAATATATTTGGTTCCAAAGAGGAAGGGAAAGGGAGAGATACAAACATCAATGCTGCCTCCTGCACGCCCCCTACTGGGGATGGAGCCTGCAACTGGGGCATGTGCCTTGACAGGGAATCTGCTGCTTCATGGGTTAATGCTCAACCACTGAGCACACTGGCTGGGCAGGTCCTATATTTTTTGTTAAAAGTTGTCAGTGTATGCTGACATGGGCCCTGCTTCTGTAACCTGTGTTACCTTAAGCAAGTTGCCCTCCCAGCCTATGAGAGCGCTTAACAGTTTCTATAAAACACTACCCCTTGCTGGGGGTTCTAGTTAGACCACTTAAGTCTGACTACCTGCTTTCTCTGCAGAGGTGAACAAGAAGGAAGTTGTGGAGGCTGTGACCATTGTGGAGACCCCGCCCATGGTGGTTGTGGGCATTGTGGGCTACGTGGAAACCCCTCGGGGCCTCCGGACCTTCAAAACCATCTTTGCTGAGCATATCAGTGATGAGTGCAAAAGGCGCTTTTATAAGAACTGGTAAGGGAGGGGACACCCTAGCTTAGGGTGGGGAGAAGGCGCACCTGTGCAGGGCTTCTCAGTCGTAATGGGAGGGCTGCTCTGGTGTTGGGGTTAGTTGCCTCCAGAACAACAGTTCCTGGAGACAGCCCTTAAGCAGTTGGTGGTTTCCTGAGCTGGGAGCAGCTTAGTGGGTGTTGGCTGAGGACTCAGTTTTCAGTATTTTCTTGGTTTCTGGGAAATACTGAGAGTCCCGGGAGAAACCAAGAGGTAGCAGTCCTGCCTGGGTGTGTGGTCTGGGTAATGGCTAGACCGGAGCAAGAATTAGTGTGTGCTTGGATGTTTGTGACTTACATTAATCTTGTGGACCTCTGCTCAGCTCCGCTCGGCTTTGCCCGATGAGCTCCATCCAGGCTCCGCTTGCCGGTGGAAAAGGCTCCTTAGAAGCCGGCAATGAGCCCCATCCCCTCGTGGTGCCCGTGTGCCTTCCTCTCACCCCTCGGAGGGGTGATGAAGGCCTGCACCCGGCCCCCCTCCCCAACTCTGCTCTGCTCCTGAAGGCATAAGTCTAAGAAGAAGGCCTTCACCAAATACTGCAAGAAGTGGCAGGATGACGATGGCAAGAAGCAGCTGGAGAAGGACTTCAACAGCATGAAGAAGTACTGCCAGGTCATCCGCGTCATCGCCCACACCCAGGTGAGCACTTGCCAGTGAGCCCGAGAGGCAGCTGTGCCTGGAGGTGGCTGATGGAGGTGTGGGGCTTTGAATACCAGATGCCGCTTGTTTGGGAGGTTCAGTTACCTCGAGTCCATCCTCAGAGTGCTTTGGTGCCAAGCCTTGGGGACTTCGGGGGTTGGTTAGGCTGGTTCAGGTTCCTCAAAACTTCTTTTCTGGTGTAGGAGACAGGCCAATGAGCAGCCTGGGGTTGTTTGAAGTTAACACAGCAGCAGGCCAGACACTGCCCTGCCCTTGAAGCCTGGGTTCCTGGGGCCAGGTCATGGCCCATTGGACAGTGGCCTGAGTAAGACATCCAGTGCCTCCACTTGTCAGCAGAGGGCACTGTCCCTTTCGGTTATTAGGGAAACATACCCCGTTTTAATGAAAACTGGTTGAAGGAATTGGTGACTCATGATTAACATTGTCAAGTGCCTGACTGAAAGTAGTGAATAGTCAGTGGTGAAATAATGCCTGTTGGCATCTCAAACCTGGCTGGAGGAGCCCTTGCCTGGCTTGGACAGGGGAGTGCCTCCTTGTGCTCTGGCCACTCCCTGGGTGTGTGCCCTGTTCCCGAGTGCTGAGTTAGGGACCACGTTAGCGCAGATCGACAGCAGTCCATGGAAGAAGTTCTGTAGGGGTAGCTACAAGCTTTAGGCCTGCATTTGTTTCCTTTTCTAAAGCTTGCAGTTTACACAGTGGCTGCCGGGCCATCCTGCTCTCCAGAGTACAGGTGAATTGTTGGTAGTAACAGCGAGGTAGGTGGGCAGGCAAACTAGAGCAGTACCCCAAAGGCACTGGCCAAAGGACAGTCAGTGGTCAGCACATTCGGCTTGTTGGTGCCAGGATCTGGTTAAGTGGACCTATCTTGGTGTGGGCCCTGTGGCAAGGGTTGGCTCATCAGAACTGAAAGGGGACTTGTGCCCCGTGGGGAGTTACTTCACCACGTTCTTCCTCTGCTGGAGAAGAGCTTGAAGCGCAGGGAGCTGAGCTGCATCCATTCCCTTCTAGATGCGCCTGCTTCCTCTGCGCCAGAAGAAGGCCCACCTCATGGAGATCCAGGTGAACGGAGGCACGGTGGCCGAGAAACTGGACTGGGCCCGGGAGAGGCTAGAGCAGCAGGTCCCTGTGAACCAGGTGTTTGGACAGGACGAGATGATTGATGTCATTGGAGTGACCAAGGGCAAAGGCTACAAAGGTGAGCTTGTGCAGTGGCCGGGTTTGCTGGGCTTAAACTCAGCAGAGGGGTCTCCAACCTGCTGTTCGGTGATGAGGCTCTGGAATGAGCGCTGGGCACAGCGCCCGAGTCACACTGCGGAAACATTCCTTGCTGCCTTCCTTCTGAGAACAGCCCTGTAGTCGTGGACTGGGGGCATGACCTCTAGATTCACATCTAGACAAGCATTCAACTTGGGATGATATGGCCATTAGAGGGTAACATGCAGGTTAAACCCACCTCTGTCCTTGAAATGCACTGTCATTGGGTGTTAACAAACCAATGAACTCAGGGGGGCCTTCCCAGGAGAAAAGGGCCAATGTCATGAGTGCCAGACACCCCAGTAACAGCATGTGTCCATTCCAGGGGTCACCAGCCGCTGGCACACCAAGAAGCTGCCACGCAAGACCCACAGGGGGCTGCGGAAGGTTGCCTGTATCGGGGCGTGGCATCCTGCCCGGGTGGCCTTCTCTGTGGCCAGGGCTGGGCAGAAAGGCTACCATCACCGCACTGAGATCAACAAGAAGGTGAGGTGCTTGGGGTGGAGGTAAAAGGGGGGGGGTTCAACCCTGGGGGGGGAAAGGTGACCCCATTATAGGAAGGAGAGTTACAGTCTCTTGTCACCACCATTGGTGGGGAACTTCTGGGCATCACATGGAGTTAGCTGTCCATGTGATTGGCTGGTGTGTGATGATTTATAAGGTGCCATCCTCAAAGGTGGTTCTGGTGCAGCTGATTATTGTGAACTGTGGGAGCCTGTCCTTTCTTCCCAGGAAGTGTGGAGTGGCCTCCGTCCACTCTGTTGGATAGCAGTGTCTTTAATGTAGAGCCAGCCAGCTCTTTATAAGTTCTGAGCCTGGGGCACCCCATCAGGACTGAGTTCAGAGCTGCTTTCCCAGAGTCCTTTGCAGGCTAGGCCCACCGCTCAGTGGGCATTATGGTCCCTGATGGCCACCCTGCCCTGTGTGTGGGAGTCTCCTGCCTGTGTCCTCTTCCCCAAGTGTTACTTACAACGCTCACTCCTTGTGCAGATCTACAAGATTGGCCAGGGCTACCTGATCAAGGACGGCAAGCTAATCAAGAACAACGCCTCCACCGACTATGACCTGTCTGACAAGAGCATCAACCCTCTGGTGAGGAACGGAGCTAGGAGCTAGCTGTCTTCTCTGGCCTCTGAGGCCCGGGGTCTGGCAGATTTCACCCTCTAGAAATTTGCCCCAGGCCTCGCCAGTAGGGCTGGGGCCCTGAGGCTCTTTGGGCCTGTCTGACTCAGGAGGCCAAGTTTGCAGTCAGTTACTGGTCCCTGCATAGCAGCCAGCTCTGTTCCCTGTAAATGGCCTGTCATTGGTCCACTGGATGGGGTTGGCTGGAGAGAAGTGGGGTCTCCAGCCCAGCTGTTGGGTGATGAGGCTCTGGAATGAGCCCTGGGCATAGTGCCCGAGTCGCTGCAGAAACATCCCGTGCTGCCTTCCTTCTGAGAGCATCCCCGGGCGGGTGGCTGGGGACAACCTAAACCTGAAGGGTCCTGTGTGATACGTGCTGACCTGATGGCCTTGCTCTTTCCCAGGGTGGCTTTGTCCACTACGGCGAAGTGACCAATGACTTTGTCATGCTGAAAGGCTGTGTGGTGGGAACCAAGAAGCGAGTGCTCACCCTCCGCAAGGTGAGGCTTGGGCCTGGGTGGCGCCCTGCCCCAGGAACCTGTGGGGAGGAGAGAAGCTTATTAACGGGAACAGTCCACAGACAGGCTGAGCTGTTAGGGAGGGGAGTTCAAAGGAAAGGGGGGTTTGCTGCTCCTTCAACATGGTCTTTGAAGTCCTGGAGGAGGAAATTCCAGTCTGGCCCAGCTGTTTGCTTCTGCTTTCACGTGCCAGGCCAGTTCCTTGGATACAACCAGCCAGACGTGACTGCTCCTCTGCCCTCTAGGGAAGGCTGGGAAGTAAGATGGTGCGGCGAAAGCCCTGCTCTTCATAACTAACCTCTTCTCCCCTTGGCCCACAGTCCTTGCTGGTGCAGACCAAACGGCGGGCCCTGGAGAAGATTGACCTTAAGTTTATCGACACCACCTCCAAGTTTGGCCATGGCCGCTTCCAGACAATGGAGGAGAAGAAAGCATTCATGGTGAGCACCTACCTGTCTGGGGCTGGGGAGACTTGCCCCCCCAGAATCTCTGGTCCCACCAGAGTGTGGCCTGTTCTTACTGACAAGCTGCCTTCCTCCACCTCTAACCTCACCTTTCCCAACAGGGACCACTCAAGAAAGACCGGATTGCAAAGGAAGAAGGAGTCTAATGTCAGGAACAGATGGTGCAGCTGGTGGGGTCTCAATAAAAATTATTTTCCAGTGAGAACTGCCTTTGACTTGACCTTTCCAGTTCCTGGCTGCTTCCACATGACCCTTGTGCTGCCCATGGCCTCATGGCCTCCCACTTCCCTTTGGTCTCCTTTGCCCTCCCCCCTGCCTGGCCCAGTACCTGGAGCCTGGGTCCGCCCCTGAACTTTGAAGCCAGCCTGGGGCAGTAGGCTGTGTGTACAATGTGTCGGGGTGAGGCGGCTGGGGCTCAGCTGTGGAAGTGTTTGCACAGCTTGGGTGGCAGCTGTGGAGATGGGAAGGAGGTGACGGGCGTTTGGTTGCTGATGGGCGCGGTGCGGCAGGGCAGACCCAGGGTCTGTTGTGCACAAATGAGGAGCGGGATCCAGTTCAGGCTTGTTTTGGTCTGTGGCCTGCAGCCAAGTCCTGGCGGTGGGAGAGGGGTGTCATGCAGGAGGCCTGCAGCGCACCTGGAGCTGGGAGGAAACGCCAGTGTTGACTCCGAGAAGGCCCTGCCCTGTTGGTTTCACTTAGCCAGCTTCACAGGAATGTGGCCGTGCAGAGGTTAAGCACCTTGTCCAGGCTCCCCCAGCTGGGTGGTCACTGGACCCTTTCGGGCCTTGCTCTGCCCTTCTCCTTGCAGGAGGTTCTTGCGCTGATCTGTGCTGACCATGTTGAGCACCTACTGTTGACCAAGCTTGGTACCAGAATGCTGGTGAGTGTTTTGGCTTTAAGCTCAAAACAGCCAGGCCTATGATCCCTGACCCCTCTGGCCTACCTTTCAGGGAAGGACTTGGCCTCAGTGAACCCAGCTGGCATGTCAAGGCTGTTCCCACATCAGCATACCCAGCTGAGGGCAGATGAGGCTGGCAGGACTTCCACCAATTACCTGGCCTCTGGCTCCTCAGCCTTGCATCTGAAAAGGGGTGGGGAGGTGTGGGTTGAGATCCTGTACTAAGGATGCTAAGGTGGTCCAAGTTGGTTTCTAATGAGCATGGCACACCCATGAGTGAAGGCCTTAAAATGTAGGTCAGGGTTCAGAGGAGAAGGTTGAGGTCCTGAGGCAGAGGCAGGGTAAGGCTTGGTGTACACTGAGTGAGTCTAGCTTGGGGCCCCCATGTGTCTGAAGCCCCTTCTGAATTCTGGGGAAGCAGTTCTAAATGGCCACTTCTGGGCTAATGCAGATGATCGCCCCCTGCTAACCCTGCATGAGCCAGGGTTGAGCGGCTGGAGCTGCAATTCAGGATGGAGCCACCAGGGGGTGGGAATGGGTGGCACCTGGCTGGGCCAGCCCCTCAGCCACACAGGATGGCCTTTTTACTGCTTTTTTTTGGGGGGGGGTGGCAGGGGGACAGGGAAGCTCCACTCCTGGGAGTCCAGTCAGGTCTAAGGGAGGATGCTGAGCCGGCCCCACCTAATCCACTTGGTCATCTTGCCGGGCCTCCCTTCCCAGTTAGGCCAGCCCTGGAGCCCAGCTGCCAGCCCAGCTCAGGTAGGAAGAGCTTTGCTGGTCTGACATCCTGGTAGGTCTTGACCCCTGACCAGGGTTCTGTCCAGTTTCGGATATAGTAGCCAGGATGGTTCTGGGGATGTAGGGTCCAGAGAATCCTCCCACCCCCACCCCAGAGTAGTCTGCTCTCTGGCTGAGAACATGCACACGCATCCAGCACCACAGATACTCCTCCAGGTAAGGGCTGTTACCTCTCGTGTCCCCACACATGGAACATGCATAGAGTCATTTCCAGGGACAGGCTTGCTTGACGTGGGGGCTGAGCTCTTGGCTGCTGACCATCCCCATCATTTCTGCCTGCCCCTGGGCAGTGCGTGACCTTGGGCACATCCCAGCACAGTTCCAAGCCTCAGGCACATCTGTTGGCGACTCGCAGCCTTGGTGGTGGTTGTATGCGGAGAAAAACCCACACTGCGGAAATAGGTGCAAAGGCTCAGACTCTTGGGAGGAAGCTCCGGGAAGGCAGCGCTGGGTCCCCCTTGCCTCCCTAGCCAGGGCCTGGCAATATAGTAGGTGCTCAATAAATGTTACTCCCTGCACCTCTGGGGCCTGCAGTCGTGGGGAGCTGTCTCAGTCTCTTGCATCCTGTGCCTGTGCCTGTCACGGTACATCTTTGAGTGCCTGTTGGCCTATGCTTCCTGTCACCAGAACCCCCAGACAGGCCTCGCTGGAATCCTGCGGTGACAGAACAAAGAGTCTCATTCCATTCCTCCTGGAAAAAAAATAAAATAACCTGCTGGGAATTTCTGAGCAAGTGGGAACAAGGAGGTGGCGGGAGCCATCATCATCGCCTTAAAAGGCACGACAGCCAGTGACTTTGCTGAGCTCACCTGGGGATGGCCTTGGGGGATGGGGGGTTGGGCAGCTGGCTGCCACCTTGTGGCTCACCCCAAAGTGCCTTCCCTTGGATCCTCGCTGACAACCTTGACAGTGGGGGCTGCCTGCTGGGCCCTGTTCCATTCCCCCACCCCACACCCCTAGGTGCCTAACACCCTCCCATCGGCTCTCAGCACGCAGCTACTTGTCTGAATTTTCCTGGGTCCCCTGCCCGCCATGGGCTGTGTCGCTGTTCAGGCTGGCGCTCAAGGTCTCCAGTATCATGCCTCCTTCTGCCAGGCCCAGACCCCTGGCCTGCTCCCAGGAGCCCAAATAGCTCTCCCAGCCCTGCCAGCAGCAAGCTCAGAAGCAGGGCTGGAGGCCGACAGGCGAGGCCTCACCCAAACCTCACTGGAGGCGGGAGAGAAAGCCCATGAGCCTGGGAGTGAGGGAACTAGCACCCGGGGACCTTCAGGGCCTATTAACACATCAGAACTTAAAATGTCAGGATCCTTGCTGTGTCCTCCACATCCAGCAGCCCCCTGGGCCCACCAGCACATGCCCAGGCCCACTTCACAGTCCCTGGCCCGCAATCCCAGCGCCCATAATGACTTGGGGTGCCTCCAGAGGGCAGTGCCCAAGCCGGCAGGTAGAGGTATCGTGAATACCTTACCCTACCAGGCACTGCCCCAAGTACTGTGTGTATAGACCAGGGGTGGGCAAACTTTTTGACTCGAGGGCCACAATGGGTTCTTAAACTGGACCGGAGGGCCGGAACAAAAGCATGGATGGAGTGTTTGTGTGAACTAATATAAATTCAAAGTAAACATCATTACATAAAAGGGTACGGTCTTTTTTTTTTTTTTAGTTTTATTCATTTCAAATGGGCCGGATCCGGCCCGCGGGCCGTAGTTTGCCCACGGCTGGTATAGACAGTACATTTGTGTATTTGATCTTCCCCTGGAAGCAGCATCTATTATTATCCCATTTCACAGATAAGAAACTGAGGCTCAGAAAGGGTGAGCCTCACAGTGTCTGACTGGTAGGGCTGGAATTGAAGACCAGCACCCCTTCACTCTGACCCTTCTCATGCTACTAGGGGTCTGTAACGCATCGTGTAGCTCAAGGGAGAAGGATGGGGCGCTCATCTATTGGGCCTTCTGTTGGCCCTTTCAGAGTTGCTTTGTCTAACCCTACAACCGCGATCTCCATTTCACAGATGGGGAACCTGGGCCCAGGGAGTCAGAATCCTCTGAGGTCGCAAAGCCAGACTATGCCCCGCCAGGCGTCTTAGATGCTGCATCTCACCGAGTGGTCATCGCAGCCCCGTGAGCCGTGAGCTGTGAGTCGGTGCTGCTGTTACCACTCCTGCTTTCACAACGAGGAAACAGAGGCACGGAGCAACAGCCCCTCAGGTCAGACTCTCAGGAGCGGCAAAGCAGGGATTCAAGTCCCAGGTTCAGGAACTCCGTGTTAACCACTCAACTGTGGGGGCCTGGCGGCTCCTGTGAGATGTGGGGGTGGGGGCAGGGGGCCCAGCAGCCACTGCGGCCCCAGTGTTCCTTGGCCCTCACAGGCTCACATGGGCCCACTGGCTTGACAGACGGGGCAGCAGGGGATGCTGCGCTTCGAGTGCTAGCAGACAGGTAGGGGTGGGGAGCCACAGCCAGCCCCACCCGCCTTGGGCCCTGGCCCTGCAGCTGGCCTCCAGGTCACTGGCTTCATGTGACTTTGGAGAAGTGGCGCCACCATGCCCCAGCCCCACGCAGCCAGGCAGAGAAAAGTGCTGTGAGAGAAGACGCTAAAGATAGCCGGCTGCCGACTTCCCCATCCTCACGGAACACCACCT